CCATCTAAATGGATCCGTTTTACCTACTGAGACGATTTTACTCACTGGTGACCCACTTTATTTTTTACAGTGAAGGGATCGGGGAACGATAAGAAATAAAAAAATGTCAGGGTCGAGGTGGTAAAGGGGGCTAAAAATCTAAACCTCATATACCTCTAAAGTAAAGATATATTGAATGAAAATATTTTTTTGAAATGCACACCGCAAACCATACATGAGTTTATCGTTTTAATATTTGACATATAAGTTTTCTAATTCTTTTTTGATTTATCTGAATACACTGATTTTCTTAAAGTGTGCGCCCTTCGACTCTTGTCAAATATATACTGTACTTATTCTCATATTCATAACATAAGATTTGAAAAGAAAAAAAGATATAAATACCTTTAACTCGTCATCAGTCAACTGTCGCTGAGATAGATTAGTAATGATTGAATGGTCATTACCTTTATTATTTCCAACAATAAGTTGAACTATTGCTCTGTACAAGAAAATAATTTCACAATAACATCAATATCCCTTATCAAACGTTGTTACCTTCACGTTCGCAAGTTCTGTAAAACATATATTAATAAGATGTAATAACAATCTCTTCTCATTTCTGTTCTTTTACTTTTTCTGATTATTGCATCACCTCAATTTTATTTCAATATAACAGTAGATTCTTTTCGATCTTGACATTGGGCGACGGTTAGCTATATGAAACAGTTACTTCAATGACGGGGAGGACGAAACTTTAAACTATTAATAATAATACTTCGGAATTTATATTCCGTTCTTTTCAACAGAACGGAATTTTCAATAATAACATCAATTACTGTTCGTGCCATCTAGCCGCTTCTTTTTTTATACCTTTTTGTTTTGAAGTCAGGAGAGAGTTGACACGAATAAGAGAATCTAGAAGCTGGTTTGGTGCTTTTTGCCGGAAAAAATGAAGGAAATGACTTGTTTATGTGGATTTGCTTGAAAGCTGATCGAAGAAGTCTGAGCTGTTTCTCATGTTGTTCTTCGCTTCAGTCAAGGGTTGAATGGTTGAATGAATCGAAGATGAACGTTACTTGTTAAATAAAACAATATGGAAGACATAAAACTTTCTTTCTTCAGTATATTCAACAGAATCTAATCCACCACGTTTATTTATCGATAGCGAAGACTTAAGAGTATGTTTCCGTAAGCAGAAAAGATTTAGCATGTCTTTTCAAAAACCGGCTTTCACGGAGATCTGTGGAAAACCGTTTCCTAACTGGAAAATTCGACACAGCATTATATTGATTTTTTCCATAAATAGTTAGACTAAAGTGTTCTGCACAAAACAGAACCTAAGCGAGAGCTTCATTCTCATCATTAGGTATGCACCAGTTTCAGTTTTTAACTGTAAGAACTGGAACTGTGAGAACTGAAACTGCTGAGAATTGGGGCTGTTGACTTTTCAAAGACAATTTTCTATCTAATTAAATCGAAAGGCACATCACTAGATGTGGTTTTTTACGCTGACCACGAAAATCAATTTTAAAATTCATGAAAATTAAAATTTCAACCTAAAAATTTAAATTCTAAGCTTTAAAATTTTGTAATTTTAGTTTTCTCTCTAGAACAGGTTTTAGAGCAAAAGAGTTTTCTGGAAAATCAGTTTTGTTTTGAAAGTTTTGGAACGAATCTATTTTTACGTTGAAATTTTAATTTTTATAAATTTTAAAATTGATTTTCGTGGTCAGCATGAAAAACTGCATCTAGTAATGTGCGTTTGGATTTAATTAGATTGAAAATTGCTTTTGAAAAGTAAACAGCCCTAGTTCTCAGTAGTTCCAGTTCCAGTTAACTGGAGTTGGTGCATAGCTACTCATCATTACGCAGTGGACGAGGTTTTCTTGTGAGTCCTAGAATTTTGTTCTTAAAAAAAGATTTTAAAACCTAGCAAAAACCAAGTTTTTCAAAACTTAGCGTTTTCCGACCGTTGTCATCTATTATTAAAAAATTCACAATTCATTCAAACAACATCAGAACCTCAGGATGTATAGTACTTAGGCTGTTTTTTATTCTATTTAAAAGGAATGTACAAGAAAAAATTTATAAAACCCTATGGCTTTCTTAAAGGATTTCTAGAAAACCTCAGGACAAAGACATGATGTCTTAATTTTTTTGATTTTGTAATTACGTCTAGCAGACAGAATTAACTATATCCTGAAGTTCTGAACCTGTTCTGATGTTGTTTGAGGGAATTGTGAATTTTTTAATAATAGATGAAAACGGTAAGTTTTGAAAAACGTGGTTTTTGCTAGATTTTAAAATTTTTTTTTAAGGACAAATATTGGCACGAGATTCACCATAGTCGAAACTTATGTTTGCATGCGTTGCTGAGATTCATTGACTGTGCTGAGCAATTTCTAGGACTCCCAGGGAAACCTCGTTCGCTGCGTATTGATGAGAATGAAGCTCTCGCTTAGGTTCTGTTTTGTGGAGAACACTTTAGTCTAACTATTTATGAAAAAAATCAATATATTGCTGTGTCGAATTTTACAGTTAGGAAACGGTTTTCCACAGATCTTCGTGAGAGCCGGTTTTTGAAAAGACATTCTAAATCATTTCTGCTTACGGAAACATGCTCTTAAGTCTTCGCTATCGAAAGCGAAAAGTATGAGTCTTCATGTACTGGCGTTCATCATATTTTGGATCAATAGTAATCCAAAGGTTCCAGTGGGTAAAAATTTTACCATACACCTTTTTTCCATTACGGAGAATTCGCGGATTAAACTAGTTAATTAATTGGTTATTAAAACAATGCATGTTGAAGACCCAGAATACATGAAGGACTATATATTAAGTGTTGTATCGATGTATATACAAAAAAAAATATTTTAAAGACGACTTAACCTACAGACAGTTTTCATCATTATTATGTTTTGATCTTGATAGATAATCAAAATATTCCGTTGGTTCTTGACCGAATATTTTTCGTTTTGAATAGGAATAACAGCGTACGAATGTATTTGAAAATGTTAATTTTGGTAGCTGTTGATGTGTATGACGACGATGTTGTGATGATGATCGACAGCAAATCATTGCGACAAATTCCTGACGAAATATTGAACCACTAACACAGTAAAGTAAAAAGTTGACCGAATGACATAAATAGAAAAGAAGTCTCAATAGTGTCCAATGAATAAAGTACCATGGTAATAACTGAATTGTTGGTGGAGCAAGTGCAGTATAAACACTTGCTGGCGAAGTTAAAACAGTATAGAATATACTAACGGTTAATAACATACGAGTAATATTTCGTTTTTTTGATGATTTTTTACCTTGACTACGAATTGTTGAGCGATGTATAGTACGCATGAGTAAACCATTGAATATAATCATCGAGATAAATGGTAGCAATGTAAACAGAAACAGCGATACTTTACCGTAATATTCACTGCGAAATTTATAGTAATGTGGATAAAGTTCTTTATTTACGGTACATTCCATTATTTGTTCAGATTTAGGTCGTGTATCGGATAATGTGTATTCATAGTAGATGAAAAAATGTGATTCACATAAACAAATGGTAGTAATAATTAAAAATAGTTGAATAAAAACACGCTTCTGCACACATATACATTTTTTTGACACATATAAATATCGTTGAATTGTGACAATTACAAGGAGAACAGATGATAGTCGGAGAAAAACATAGGTCAAATAAATATGAATACGACATGACATTGTTAGATAATATGGATTTGTAATAAAAGAATCCATCGCACGAATATCAATTTTGAATGCATCGATAAGAAATTGTCTCAGAAGTCCAGTGAAACATGTCCCAACTTCAACTACACACAATACGGCTAAATAACATGTTGTCTTTTGTTTACGTAAACGTCGAGTTAATAATACAAAAAATGAGAGTGAATTACCGATACCACATAATATAAGAATGATCGGTGATACAATTTTAGATATTGTCTCTGTTATTTCGACATAATAATAAGATGAATCTGAAGATGTTTGTACTACTGTTGAATTATTCATTGTATATCACTCTAAAACGATAAACTTAAGAGAATGCTCAACGGGAAACAGCCCATGTGTCAGACAGAATAGAGAAATTAATCGTCTTTCTGATGTCATGCTACAAAATATCGAGTTCTCACACTTTACCTACTCATCATCACCATATTCATTTACTATTGTTATCATCAATTTACCACGAAAAACGGATTATACTATAGAACAGACTCATTGTCACTCATAAAAGTGTCTAGTTTATACTCGGATCATTACTTCTTCATACAAGGACTTTGTGAAGGTTTATCTTTAGTACAGAAGTTAATATTAGAATTGTTTGAGGATAAGATGCGAATGAAACGAACATAATTGATGTTTATGTGTTTGAGTACAAATATACAAGTAGGTATGGACCGGTATCGGTATTCATACCGAAATACCGATACCGAAAATACCGAACTTCGGTATATACCGATACCGAAAATACCGACTTTTTTCACTTAGAATTTTTTGGATTTTTTTATTTGAAAT